TTTTTTGAAAAAATGCAAATTTCCAGTTCATGAAAAATTGAAAGTGTAGCTTGAACGGTAGTTTTTTAAAAAATTCATGTTCACTTACAAATACGATCGCGGTTCAGGTCCGAGTTCCTAACGATTTTTGGGTTGAGGAGCTGCTTGAAGCTGTTGTTGGGAAGCTAGAGAGCTGCGTTTAAAATTTTTATCTCGTACTTGCATAGACAATGTCCCTACAAAGTTTCAGCTTTCTGCCTTGGTTCGTGAAATCGTTTCCCGCCAACATATTTCTTTGTGGGTCCCGTACGCTAGTTCTAGGCGCTTGTAGGGAAAGATCTTAAAACGGGAGGACAACACATGGAATAGAAACATATATCCAAAGTTTCAGCCTTCCAGCTTTCCTGGTTGCTGAGATGAAAGTGGGTGACAGAAGGCACTCGCTTCCGAACACACACACAGCCTCTCGACAATATGTGTTTTTGCTAAAACGCATAAAAACAGCAACTATTCTTGCTGTCAACGATCTAACTGCTTCAACACTTGCGCAAAAATGTATGATCGCATCGACAATTCATGAACTGCCACCTGGATTTGTGTGCTGATGCAGGGATCGTTAATACTTTCGCTTTTTATGCGTTTTCGCACATATGTAAATTGCAAAAAAGCATATTGGGAAGAGGCTGTGTGTGTTTGTCTGTGTGTTCGCACTTTTTGTCACTCACTTTCAACTTGAGACCTAGAAAAGCTAGAAGGCTGAAACTTTGGGGGTATGTGCCCACACCATGCGCGACCTTCTCGTTTTAATTTCATCCCCCTTGGACGCCTGGGTGTCGAGCACGGACGTTTTAAAAAAATATGCAAATTTTTTGGCGGGAAAACGATCTCGGGAACCACACAAGCTAAGGGGCTGAAACTTTGTAGGAATATTCCTTGTGCATTTACTAGCTAAAGATTTCAAATTCAACTTCCAGATATGCGTGGTACGCACGCAAGGGCGGATGAAAGTTTTAGGAGGAAAATTGCTAACTCGGGTACCAAGAAAGCTAGAAAGCTGAAATTTTGGGGTAATGCTCCCCATCGAAGTACAACTCAAATATTTCAAACTCAACCCCAAGCTATGCGTGGTATTCACGTAAGGGAGCATGAAAGTTTTTGCAGGAAAACTGCTAACTCAGGTACCAGGAAAGCTAGAAAGCTGAAAATGTTCCCTATCCAAATATATCTCAAATATTTCAAATTCAGCCCCAAGCTATGCATGGTACTCACGTAAGGCCGTATGAAAGTTTCTGCAAGAAAATTGCTAATTCGAGTAGTAAGAAAGCTAGAAAGCTGAAATTTTGGGGAAATGTTCCCTATCGAAGTACAACTCAAATTTTCAAAATCAGCCCCTAGCTATGCATTGTACTCACGTAAAGGCATATGAAAGTTTCTGCAGAAAAATTGCTAACTCGGCAAACAGAAGAACCGGAAGGCTAAAATTTTAGGCGAATATTCCTTGCCCATACGCAATTTAAAAATTTCAAATTCAGCTTTCCAAATACGGGTATGTGAAGGTTTTAGCGGAAAAATTACTAGCTCGGTAACCAGAAAAGCTGGAAAGCTGGAATTTTGAGGGGACGTTCCCTGTCCAAGTGCAACTTAAGTATTTCAGATTCAGCCTTGAGGCATGCGTGGTTCGCAAGTACGAGCACTTAAAGTCTTGACGAAAAAATTTCTCACTGAACAACTAGGTTAATTATAAATAACGACCGTTAAATGGAAATTGTACAACTTGCTTTGCAAAATTTATGGTGATTTATGCTAGTGACCGCAACAGGTAGGTGTAAAGCAACAGCAATTCGTACATTTAATGACCTGATTAATTCAAGTCCGGTGCAAAGACACATGATCGCACGGGCCCGCCCGGTGCGTTCCAGCCTGGGTTAAATTCAGCATGCAGTACGATTTTCACATCTGTATCGGCACCTAAAAGCCGCATATTTTCTAGCACTAAGAACAAAAAAGACAGTTTCGACAAGGCAAATTCCAATACGTCTTGTCACAATCATCAGCTCTGATGCCCAACAACTTTTTGCAAAAATCCTCAAACGCACTAGCCCACTGGCCCTCGCTATCTTTATAAATTTTATTTGAATTTCGGGTCACTGCAATTCAGCACAGCGCTTCGGATTTTTGGAATTATTTTGGTTGCGAAGTTAAATAATG